CCGCGCATTCCTGCTCGAGCTGGAGTCACGCTTCCTCGAGTTCTTGGTGTCGGGCTTTCAGCTGCTCCACCCGCATGCGAGGTGGGGCCGCTGTCTCCCCCTCGGCCTGGTCGTCGAGGTCGTTCATCGGGATAGCCTCCTCCTCATGGATGCTTTCGACATGTCCCTCGGGACCCTGTCATGAAGCATTCACGAGAGGGGTGATGGCTCCCCTGCTGGAGTTTGAGCCAGAGGGCGACCCCGGCTCCTCTGTGAGGAGGTCATGGAATGATTCCATGACGTGTTCGATCACCCCCACGAACTCGTCATTCATGGAGGATGGAATCATGCGTTGCACCAGAAGGTGGCCAACAGTTTCTACAGCGTTGCGGAGATTGAACAGGAGCATCGTCGGGGCGCTCCGGATGAGGTATTCCGGGGAGAGCGGCTCTCCCCCGGTAAGATGCGCCATGACATTGGCGAACGAGAAGGTAAGGTGGCGCAGGTCCTCCCGGGACGGTTGGGGTCCCAGGAAGATGTCGAGCTGACGCTCCAACCTCCCATAGTCGAAGTCAAGGAGCTAGCCGCTTCTAGGGGCGCGGGCCTCCGGCGCACGCAGCTGCAGCTCCTCGAGCATCTCGGTGATCATGTCGAGGCCAGTGGAGTGGAAGGGTTGAACGATGATGGGCGCCCTCGCCAACTCTCCCTCCGTTGTGACGATGAAATCTAGGTCCCCGAAGCACACGTGTGCGCCGGGACCCAGCTGATGTCATGACTAGCCATCCGTGGCCTGATGTTAACGTCGAGATGGGCAAAGCCCCCTACCTAGCGCGCCAACTGTCGATGTTTCGAGTAAACACCAACGAGTAAATTTGTATTATTGTGCGTCTGACCCGGATGGTGTGCTAAGAGGACACAATGATTTATACTAGTTCGGGCAAAATGTTCCTACATCCAGTTCGTGGCTGCTGCTCGTGTTACTAGACTAAAAAGTTCGTAGTAGGGGTTATAAATGGGCGAGAAAGGGACATGTCCCAAGTCTCTGATGGAAAAAACGAATGGGTGCTGAGAGCTCGGTCACTGCTTAGCTGTGTGTTTGAGGTTCGATGCTAGTGGTTCTGCTATGATGCGGTGTGATGTGTGATGTGGTGAACCGATGTCCCTTAGTGGGACATATTGCTTTCCCTTTTATAGGCCAAGGGAAAGCACATGTTACAAAATGGGAGAAAACAGGAAAATGAGAGGCAGAGGAAGTCCTTCAGGGTCGCTGGCCTTTCTTTTCCTCTGTGCGGACCCCGCTGACATGGTCGATAATGACAGGGACAGCCCCACGCCAGGCGCCTGTCCGCTGACACTGACATGCCCTAGCGTTGTCAGAGGGGTGTAACGTCCCAATCCGCCCCGGCGGGTGGTGCGGCGAATCAGCGTGCTGGTCAGCGGCTGTACAGAGAGTGGGTAGCATAGTGACCACGCGTCTGTCACTGTGGGCGATGTGAGTTCCCTGGAATGACATGTCGTGGGGATGGGTCGTGCTAAGACGTGACCGCTCCCTGCACGATGCCAGAAGTTTGACCTCGAGTAGTACCTTCTGGCCCGTAGTGGTTGGCGGCGATGTGAGCTTCCGTTAGGAATCGTGTCTGAGGGATCGGGCGCGGTGGAGCCGCCCTTAGACGTCGGGCGAGGTGGAGCCGGCCCTCAGACGTCGGGCGAGGCGGAGCCGACCCTCAGACATTGGGCGAGGTGGAGTCAGCCCTCGGGGGTCGGACGAGGCTGAGCCAACCATCGGGAGTCAGACTGAGGCGTTCCCAACCCTCGGGCGGACTAAACGGAGCCCGCGACCTTGGTGGTTGGACGAGGCGGGGCCCAGCAAGAAATATAGTCGCGTTTTTGGCCGCTCTGATGAATTAGCGTTGATGAGTATTAACTCCTCCTCTTCGGGTACCATAGTATTGACCCCCGACACTACCCTAACGCCAACGCCAACACCGAGGCGAGATGGAGAGAAGGGAAGGAGAGGACGAGGCGCGCCACGCGAGGTAGGAGCCGAAGCGCTGCGACCACCCGTTGTCCGCTAGCCACCGGTGCCATTGCAATATGTGCAACACCTGATCTACTTTTAAAACATTCAGATAAAACACTTACAACATACGCCTGTAGACAAATGAAACACTTAACCTGCGTTTGAAACACTTGCAAAAACACATGAAAAACCATTGCAAAATATATGCAACATACTCTCTCCGTCTAGGAAAGAATGCAATTCTCCCATTCCGAGGAGTCAAACAATTCAAACTGACTAGAATTATATAAAAAAATACTAATATTTATGAAACAAAATAAGTATCATTAGATTAGTTATATAATATATTTTCGTAACAAAATTATTTGAAGATATAAATGCTAATATTATTTTCTATAAACTTGGTCAAAGTTGAGCTAGTTTGACCAGCACGCTTCCCATAATTACGTTCTTTTCTAGACGGATGGAGTACGTGTGAAACATATGTAATATGGAAAAAGTCTACTTAGCCCCCTCAATTATCGGTGGTTGTTTACTTCACCTACACTACGCATGATGTTCGCTTCGCTGAAAAGACAAATTAAAAAGTATTATTCGCTAATTTATTGTGAGAGAAAAACATTATACCATAATTAATAAACGAGGCTGATAAGTTTAAGTGCACGGGGCCTCAGTACTCCACAAGTGTAGGCTCGAAGCTTTCCTTCTTAGATAAGTAGTGCTCTTCGCATATTGGCGAGTTTACGCGAGCAAACGTATAGAAAGTGATATTGTTTGTGTTTTTTTGGCAAGTGCTTGAACGTTTATCTAAGGGACATGCATCAGTTGATTTGCAAAGATATATATTCTAATTCGGTTCTAATTAGTGGCATTTCACTAGTTATTTCTTAAGAACTATCCGTATATGAACAAAAATCTAAATATACATGAAAAAACAACATAATACAATTACAAGAATTTCTATTTCCCGGGAATGTTGTACGCGAAAACATCCGTTGGACTGCCCCTCTCCTGTTCTTGTTCCCGCTGTTGCTGCGATGGTAGGAGAGGAGGCGGGAAGCATTTTGGCTCAGTGTCTACGAGATCCACGGCCTGTGAGAGAGAGCTACAGTTCACCATTTGGCTCGTGGGCGACGCAACGGAGTACGCCGGATGCACCGTTGCCAAGGCCAGCCTGCGGTTGAGGAGCTCGGTTTGCGCAATGGAGAGCTCGGCTTGGACGAGTGCTACCTGTTGTTGACAGAGCTCTGTTTAGAATGAACTATTTTCCCTCTAAACAAGAAACATGTTGCCAGTGTGAGAATGCACAAGTACTACAGAAGAAAGTGGCTATCTCAGAGGCACTTGGATACTTCTGATATGTTTAAAGATTTTGCAGATGTTAAAATAAGAATTATTGTGGTGGTTGCTACTATATACAGATATACATATCCGATATGAATTACTTATGATACTTATTTGAATTCAGCCTTTTAAATTCGTCAGTATATAAATAAATTACTTATAAAATATAGGGCCATACAACGTCGTCTTGTCCTAATTAACCATGAAACTTTCCTCTGAAAATATCACCATGAAACTAATCGTAACCGGCGATTAGGTGTGAATTGTTTTTTTTAAGGCAGATTAGGTGTGAATTGTTGAGGATGGAAAGCAGATTAACCGAGCAAGTGGAGCCTATGCTACGCACAAGCACAACGGCGGCGGCGTTGTGGGGAGATCTCCGTTGTGGGTGTGCCCACATCGCGTGGTATGGTATCGTTATCGTGGTAACATTAACCTGGTGCTGGAGCGCAAGGATGGTGCCGACGCAGCCGTAGACGGGATCAGCGATGCGCGCCTGCGCCTCGTAGCAGACGGTGCTGGCCGCGTCCCGGCGCAGCGCCACGGGCACCCGCGACAGCATCTTCGCCACATTGCTGGCGCCGAACACCTTGTGCACGGCCGCGAACTGCGCCGCGCCAGCCCCGCCCCGCCGCTGCCGCTGCCGCCAAAGTGCGGCGCGAAGACGCACCCCGGCACGCATCGCCGCCGCAGGAACTTGCACGCGCCGCACGGCGCCCCGGCCCCCCAGAGCGACGACGCCTCCTCGCCCTGCGCGTGGGCCGGGCCTGCCGCTGCCACCGCCGCAACGGACGCGGCGCTCGCGCGCTTGCTAGGCGGCTGCGTCGCGCGCGACATGCATGTATTATCACTGTGCGTTCGCGCCGCCGGCGCGCGGGGTTCGTCGCTTAAACAAAGACGCGAGCAGCACCTGGTCCTGGTGGATCGCGGTGACGGCGCGCTAGCTACTACCCCGCTGGGTGGCCACGCAAGATTTATGAGCTCCGTGTCGCGCGGGGGTGCACGCCGCTCGTGCGTGCCTGCGCCTGCGGATTCCACGGCGCGGGAAGAGAAGGCCCAGAGGTTGATTGTGCAAATACTCTGAAGCGTTGAGCGGTGGTGCGAGTGTAAGTGCAGGGTTCACCGGCTCACTGTACAAACTACGCAAGTCACATTTGTGACGCATTTGTGCCTTTCACTTTCAGGTGGATACCCGTGTTTCACATCACATCTTGCATAAACTCAACCGCACTCACACATTAATGGAAGCAGAAACCAGGAGTTGTATATAGAAGAAACAAGCGTCTCCTGGAACTGGAAAAATCAGAAACGGAGAGATTCTGAAAAACAAGAAGCAAGTATCAGAAGCTACGTTGCCAATTGCCATGCAAGGTTGGCTGTAGTGTTGGGCCTCATATACGAGAAAATTGACAGTCAAAGAATCTGTCAATCAACTGTAAGCAGGAAACGCATGTCCAACAGCCAAAACGGATCACATTACGAACGTGACCAGTTCTTCACAAAAAATTGACCGCTTGTTTTTTGTTTGTTGCACACATCACATTACAGTATGGCAAAAAGAATGTGCCACGGAATTCCTCCTGAAGCCACTGTTATTGCAAAGTCAGTAATAGGATCAAACTTATTTGTAAGACATCACAGGTGATGGCGTCAGCTCTCAAGTTTCTTCTGAAGGAAGCACACCAGAACAACCCGAGCTTCCACAAAAGCATGGCAAACCCTTGGGCCTAACCCTAGCATCACCATAACTGAAGGTGAGCTCTTCTCCCTCCACAATATCCCTGGCAGCAAAGAAGCAGAGCCTTGGGAGCAACGAACCAGAGCTCCTCACCAGCACGGGGTGCAGGTTGCCTCCATCACATGAATGGTTGATAAAGCGAGCCACATTTCCCACTTTGGTTGCATCAATGTTGACTCTTAAGCATGCTTTACTAGAAGGGAGGTGCTCTCGTATGACAATCAGTGCGGGACAGAGCTTGCCACCAGAGGCAAGTTCATCATACACCTTGTGCCGTCTCCGCGCTTCTTCAGTTGTCAAAAATTCCCCTACAGTTTAAATACAAAGATGACCACAAAAGAAAGTACCAGCAACTATAGGTGTCACTAATCAGCAGTCAACTCAACGTGACCTGAACTGTGGGAAACAAAATAAAAATAATGTAATTTTTGGAAAGACAACATGTATTACTTAAAATTTCCAAACAATACCAACAATCACTAATATTATATTTCCAAATATCAGCGCACAAGCTCAGCACGCTATTCTGGATATTAACTGATCTAGTCATAAAGCACCTTTTATATGACTATATGAGCCAAACATAAGAATGCCTGACTAAGCAAAACTCAATCTTTCATCCTGCTGCACCCTCATAAACTGACGATAAAAGATCACTAGGCCAACAGCTGTGTGGAGAATTCCTGAAACTTGAAGCTTAAAACGATGCAGGGGCAAGTTAAGATATTCCACGAGCTAATCCCCTAACTGAATATTTTCCAATAGAATGTGGCATAAAACTAATCATAAACCTCAATGTACTAATCAGTTTTCTGTTTAGAGCTGATGCGCCTAAACTCTATTGCCGCATTAACATTGGTCTGAACTCCCTGAGGTATTAACTACTCAACATGTCAACAGCAGCTTACACTGAAAAAAGGCATGATTCTTGTAGTCCTTTTTGCAAAGGGCACAAGGCTAAAATTGTACCGGACTGCAAATGTATTGTACATGAATCCATACTGTACCAACTATATATAAAGGCTTGCCCAAATGAATCCGCTTCTTTCCAGCTATGACAAGGACAGAACCAATGCAACGCTAAGCATAGATGAACAACTAACCGAAAACACAAGTGAACAAATAATAAGAATATATCTATGACATGTGGAGAGCACAGACATGGTTAACAATCTACTAAAACGGCAAGGATTTATCTTGTGCATAAGTACAGTTTAGCTTATTCTGGCATGTGTTCATAATGCCCGTTTGGCAGTCGAGTAATCATTATTCAATTGTTTTGTTTGGTAAGGTAAGTAGGAGTTTAACAGTCTGTTTGGCTCGCCCCACCGCTCGATCCGGAATCAGTTCGTCCGTCATGGGACGGAGCCAAGTCCAGCGATTTTTGCAGTTTGGAATGCGGCACGGCTCCATCCGGAATCAGTTCGGCCGTCATGGGACAGAGCCGCGTCGTCCAGCAATTTTTGAGGAATCGGCCAGTCCGTAAAGATACGCTAACTGAGAACACTACGAATGATGGGTTGGTAACAGATCGGTTCAATTCAAGATGTAAACCAAACAGATAATAAGCAAGCGCAAAGAAACCAGAGAGAGGGGTGTGTTCTGCTTTACCGGCGTACTCGCACACAAACTGCCCGCAGCCGAGGGCCTCCGCAGCGTGCAGCCCCCACCCCTTGTGCAGGTGGCGCACGACGCGCAGCCGCACAGCGACGCCGCGCTGAGTCCGCCGGTTCCCACATGAGGGCGCACACGCGCAGCCGTCGCCGCACTCTCTGAGGCTCCCCATCCCGGCCTCCAAGCCCGGACCGGCTGCGTCGGCATCCACATCGGCGCACGCGCACTGGGTACCACCGCACTCCGCCGCGGCGCACGCGCACCCGCACACGGCCGATGGGAAGCCGTCGAGGTTGGGGTGGGGCCAGGTGGGGCCTGGCGGCCGGACCCAGGAGGCACCCCACGGCTGGGCGCTGGGAGCGGAGGCGCCGGGTGCCAGCCGGGTGAGGGAGAAGGGGGTATACAGGAAGTAGGCATAGGGCTTGGAGTCGACGCAGTTGCGGAACGGGATGGGGAGCGGTTCTAGGCCACGTGCGGCGTTGGCAGCGCGGCGCGCGGTGACAGCAGTCACAGCCGCGCGGAGGGCGCGGCAGGCGGATGCCACGGCCGCGAGGTCCTGCGGCGGCAACAACGGCAGGACCAGCTCTGCCGACTCAGTGACGGCGCCCGGTGCCGCCGGGTTCCTCATCCCGGACGGGTCAGAGAGGAACGGGACGGACGAGCACGTAGGCCTTCTTTGGTTTGTTCAAAAACAAAATCTCCTTCTCATGCAACTAAAAAAAATAAAACGTTGACCCTTTTTCATGCGACATTCATCCATCGTCCTGCCTGCTGCCCGTGCCATCTTTCTCCGCGCCCCTTATGCCCGTCTCCCTTCAAGGAAAGAAACGTCACTCCGGGAAGAAAACAAAACCCGCTCCCGTGATTCTGGCCGCCCCGTCGCCGCGCCCCCATCGCGCCCACCCTGCGCCCATGCCCCCCTCCACAGCAGGCCACCGCGCCGCTGGCCCTGCTTCCCGCGACCATGGTGGCACGCGCCCTTCCCCATCCCCTCCCGACGGTGGCCACTGCGCCCTTTCAGATCCCGACGGCCTTACGTGCGTGGGTGTCGATGACGGGCAGCCGCCCTCGGGCTCTGGATCCGTGCAGGGCGGACATGGCGGTGGCGGATTCCCTCGGCTACGTCCGCGTCGTCACCGCTTAATTAATCGCCCCGTGAGGCCCTCATCGCGCTTCGCCGTCGTCTCGCTGCGCCTCAACACAGTAGCAGCCGGTGTGCCGGATCCGGTGCCGCGTCCTCTCCCTGCCTCCTGCCTCCTGCCGCCTCCCCTCCCATCTCCCCGTCGCGCCCCCTTGCTCCATCCGCATCCCGCCCCCACTGGCCACCCCCACCTCCATGCGGATCGGCGCATGAGGACCAGTGGCGACGCCCCTTTTTCTCTGCAGGCGGCAGCGCAAGGCAGTGGCGCCTCCTCGCCGCCATGAGCCATCCCATCCCGCCCCTCGATGGTGGCGCGTCCCACACCGTGCGGATGGAACCCCCGGCGGCGATGCATCCTGCCCCAATCCCCGACCTCCTGGGCACATCACCTCGCGTGGACAGGGGGGCCCGGTGGGCAGCGCAGCCTGCCCTCACGCGAGTGGCATCCCACAGCTGAGGTGCATTTCGTCCCCCCGTTTATTTGATGATTTTGTTTGTACATAATACAAATTAATTGTTTGATTTTTTTCACCACAGAGCTCCCGATGCTTTGCAGAGATGTGCGATTGGAGCAGGATCTAGACGTTTCGCGTGTGGGAAGTAGTCAACGTTTGTAGAGTGGTTGCGGAATGAAAATTATTTGAGCCCGGTGATGAAACTGTTGGTCGGCGTCGGATATGTTTTTGAGCTCGATGGTTATTCTTCAGGTTCAGGTTGGAGTTTGACACACTTTTGGTGCACTTCGTCATTGAAAACTACTTTACTGCAGTAGCTTTTACTGATCTCAAATTCTCTATATAGAAATCGTGGGGCTTCGATTACTGCATTTGAGTTTTTTGGCCAGTGTTTCATTCACGTGTCAATTGCTTAATCAGCATTTCAAGGATTTGATCTCTCTAATTTTTAGTAGAATGTACATCACCAAGTGCTACTTCTATGAATGCATAATTATTATCTTTTGGCTATGCACTGTTGGCATTTTTCATGTTTCTTTCACTTTACATCAGATATATACATTATACATTATTAAGATACTATAGTTCTTTGTTGATTTGTCTTAAAGGCCATGTTTGAATTTTCTCAACTCCTCGGTTGATTGAAACATTTTTGGGGTGAAACCCTCATGAAGATGAGAATGCCACTTGGATGCTTACAGTACTTCACACTAATATCAATATGTTGATTAAAAATTTCTATTGTTTTTTACTGTGGTTTGTTTCTGCAAATACAGAAGTTCATGTCTCAGAAACTTGGCTAGGTGATTGTACACCATCACTAGCCAATTCATTTCAGGGAGATTCTCGCTTGTTCAACTGATTTTTTTTCTTATATAAACACACCGCATGTACAGATCCCTCTTCATCGGCTTTCAATAAAAGGTCATGTTATTTCAAGGCACGAGTACATTATATTTTATATTGATTCTTGATTTGCTACCTTTTCTCACAGTTTTAAGTGCAATAAAGAAGCACTGCTATTATAAAATCACATCATGATCTGCTGTAATTAACTCATGCAGGTTTTCAGCTGCTTTGGCCAGTACTTCTGCTTACACTTCGAGGCATTTCAATTACAGCCTGGGGGCACCAGGCTCAAGATGATCTGCCAAGGGGTTCCCCAGAGCATCATTCACAGTCACCGGAGGGTCCGAGATAGCTACGACGGGCTCATCATTGTCGACAGAATATCGTCGGCAGTCCTTTGAGGGGTATCCTACGAAGTTAGATTGATCGGCAGAGATACGTGTAATCGAGAACAAGAAGGCAACAGAGACACATGAGTTAGACAGGTTCAGACCGTCAGTATGACGTAATACCCTACTCTTGTGGTCTGTTGGATTGTATTAGCTATCGTATGATATTGTGTGAGTTTGGAGAGGGGTTTCTGCCCGCCTTATATAGTCTGAGGGCAGTGTTACAAGTCAGTTAGATCTAAAAGATAACCGGAAAGTAATAACAGATTACAGAAATCATGGAATCATACGTATCCAAACAGATCTCGTAGTATCTTCATGGTATCTTTCTGGTGTCTTGCGGGAGGCACCGAGCAGCGTCGTGTCCCGCAAGGCTTCGTCTTGTGGGCTGGGCCGCCCCTGGGGGAACAACCCATGTGGTCTGTCGTGGGTATCCGGGGTCGTGCCCCCCACAGCTAGTCCCTGAGCGCCTTGTATCCATTGTGCAACGCCATCTTGAGCTTGTCCGAGCAGGTGCGAACAAAGCCGAGCAGTCAAACTCATGGTTCGACCACCGTGATGAGTTGCCGAGCAGTTGTGAGCTGTCGCCGAGCAGCGTGAACCGTCGCCGAGCAGTGTAAACCAAGTACAGCTTGCCACAAGGATGTAAGGAGCTCAAGTTCAGAATAAAAAATTTCTTTGTAGTGGACCAAGTGTGCCCACTTAGAGTCCGACTATGAGAAAGGGAGATAGTCTTCTTCAGCTTCAAGAGGCGCGGAGTCTTCCAGATTAAAGCAAACACACTCACCGTAAGGTGAAATGTGCCCACTTAGTCTCTGAGCCTGACAATAGGTGACATGGTCACGTGGTGCCAAGGTCCATAGTAGAAGAAAAGTAGAAGACCAGCCGAGCTGGCGGCCAGTCCCCGTGCGTAGACCCGAAATGAGAAAAGCACATTCACCGTAAGGTGAAGTGTGCCCACTTAGTCCCCGAGCCTAACAGTAGGTGACGTTGTCACGTGATGCCAGGATTAGAAATAGCAGTCATAAGAAAAAAGTCCCCAGTGCGGTGAGGAGCCATGTCATGTTGAGGAGGCAGTCCCCGAGCCGCAGGTGGAAATCTTGGAGAAAACAAATCACGGAGAAAAAACGGAGTAATGGTTGTATAGTAGTAATTACTGAGCCGTAACAGATGGCGGAGAAGTTGGCGAATATTTGGTGAGCAGTAACAAATTATGGCGATACGGGCTGCAGTTGCGCAAAAGCCCAGTTAACGGCCCACCACGCTGTTGCGGAGAATTCGGAGTGGCGCAAATCGTGGGAGCGGTTTCCCAAAAACCCTCGAATGCGAAAGAGTGGGGGAGTGCTATATAACTACGCCGCCGCACCCCACACTCCCACCTTTGCCACTTTGCCACTTCGTCTTCCTCCTCAGCCCTCACACTTTTAGATTCATACGCGCTTCCGCCGCCAATCCCAAATCAGATCTGAGAAATGGCGCCGAAGATGGGAGCTGTGAAACCGAAGAAGGCGGCCGCCGTAGCCAACCGTGACGAGGAATGGGTGCCATCGAGGATGGGGGAGGCGGAGATCAACAGGATGGTGGAGGCGAGCGTTATTTCTGACTGAGTCACCGTCGGATGGCGGCCAGCCAGCGGTGAGCCCTTCCCAATGCCTCGTACTGATGAAGTAGTGGTGTTTGAGGATTATTTCTGGCCCGAGCTAGGATTTCCTGTTCATCCTTTCCTGAGGGATCTGTTGGAGTTCTGGGTAATTAGTCTGTGCAATCTCCACCCAAACACCATCTTGCACATCTCGATCTTTATCCACTTCTGCGAAGCATATCTAGGGATTCTTCCGCACTTCAACCTCTTCGGACACCTATTCTGGTTGAAGAAGAAGGGCGGCGGTGGTTCCAAGGTGGTCGGCGGTGTATATCTACAACTCCAGGATGGGATGGTGAGCGAGTACATCATTGTACCGCTGAATACTTCGCTGAAGGGGTGGAACGCCAGGTGGTTCTACATGAAGCAGAGCCATCATGCAATCCGCTGCGATGTCAACCACATCCCAGAGAGCCAAAAGAGCTGATCAGAGAAGCCGAGCAGTGCTGACATGGAGTAGGTGAGGGAGCTCCTCAACCTGATAAAAGGCATGGAGATTAATGGCGGACTGGTGGCGCGAGAGCTTCATAGTGCGCCGCATCCAGCCCTACAAGAAGAGGGCCCACCCGAGCTTTGACTTCAAGGGTGACAACGACGACACTCGGGAGAGCATAGGGAGGCTGTCGAAGGAGGACGTGCTAGAGCGGGCCGTAGAGCTATTTGCCCCAAATGCCTCATTTAGCATGTCAAGGCAGACGAGGGCCTTCAACTGTACAAATCTGCCTCCTCTGGTAACCATCCCAATCGTTTTGTTCGTGATGCTTTATATCCATTACCTTTGCCGAGCAGTGAACTAATTCACTTATGCAAAGATCCATTCGCAGGAAAGAGTGGTGTACTTCTTGGGTGTGCCGAGGGGCGATTGGTCGCAGGCAGTAGACGCTCGGCCATCGGCTTGGCCTAAAGAAGATGCGACCAATGCCTTGTCGGAGTCCAAAGGCGCAGACGCTGGTCGAACGGAGAGTACCCTCTTGGTGTCGGAGAAAGCCTAGGGGAAGAGGGCAGCGGTAGATGAGCCAGCCCGGAAGAAGAGGAAAACAGCGGGTACTGTTCCCCACAAACTGGGCGGCATCTCACTTGGCGGTGACCAGACCACTCGGACATGAAGTGCGGCGATGTCCGAGTGGTCAAACAACGACGGGGCTTTGGTAG